AATCTGTTTATCAAGATAGAACTGCTATCCATATTGACAGAGCTGTCTTCCTTATTTTTAATTTGAGACGAAAGGAAGTTTTTTATTAGCATAAATAGATGATCTAGCCAAAAAATAAGTTTTTTGGACTTTAATTTTAACTGAAGGAAACAAAGCAAGTAGAAAATAAAAAGAGCAGCAATATTTTACATCTAGAATGAGTGGCAAGAAATACATGGAAGCAAATATATTTATTATTATACCTAATATTTCCACCCCAGAGACTTGCTAACACCCACTCTACTATCAGATGTCAATGCTACAGTACAGATAGAAGAGATTGATGTAGCTAGCTATATGAGAGAGAGAGAAAACATGAATGCAAGAGCGAGCACTAGCTAATGTTTATTTTTGTAAGGCCACATGCAAATAAAATAATTTTAAAGACTATGGGCTAGGATTGTCAAAGGAGCTTAGAGGAATTAACTTGCCAAATATCCCCAGTACTCAATAGGAGTTTGCCATCTAACTCACTTTGGCTTCTTTGAAAATGCCAGCCTTGATTTTTTGGGGGAGGTGGGGTGGGGGGATTTTGCAGAGGATCTGAAAATAATGAAGCAGAACTGGCTAGTTCTGCTCCTCTCCCCCATTTAAGAAAAAAAAAATCAATATAAGGAAAGGATTTTTTGGTTTTGAGATAAGTAATATTTCCCCTATTTTGTTAAGGCATTTTTGGCATTGCCGATTACTACAAAATGGATACACAAAATTTGGTAATGTGCAATTGGAGTATACTGCAGATATGAGCACTAGAACCCAAAAGAACATTATTTTCAGGGAAGTGAACTTGATAAAAATCACAAAGATAAAGAGTTCCACAACGTAGGATAACAAATTTAACCCTAAGTTAATTATTCAAATTCAACACCAATATCAGTTGCTTTGTGATGCAAATATTAAACTTCTCAGAAAAATACTAGGCAGACGTCACCATATTTATGCAAAATCATCCAAAACCATTATTTTAAATTACAATATTGGAAAATTTAGGTTTTCAATAATTCTTCTGTTGTTTTTTTTTGGGGGGGGGGGTTTGGACCTATAAATTGTGTCTAATTTCATCAGAGGTAAAGAACACACATTTTTGATCATACAGCTGTGTAGTTTTGCCAGACAAAGAATGGCCATACCAGCACTGACAAAAAGAACTGATTTCAAAGTAAGCAATTTAGATTGCCACACATGACCGGCTTAGACAAAATCACCTGCTCTGCAAACATTTAGGCACATGAGAAACTTTATACATGCAAGCAGCTGCACTGAACAACTCACAAGTGTAAACGTTTCTCAAGAATACAAGAGTTGGCAGGTTTAGGAACTACATATGACATGACCTGATAATAAAGTACTTTTCTTTAAATTTGACTGAGTGGGAGAGAAATTAAAATCCAGAGAAGAAAATTAAAGGAGGTCAAACTTGAGGCCTAAACTATCTTTATGCAAGTTTATAAAATGTTCCCATCAAAATTCTAAGCACATGTACAAATATTAAAACAAAGCCACCGCAAAAAAAACACACAGAGAAAGTACTTGACAGAGTTCTTTTTAAAGAGCTATTCATTCCACTTTTCAGAGTGTACGATGTAGCTTTTGTGGGGTTCAACAAGACATGCACTTCTAGAACGTGAGAACCTAACATCTCTCAACTGTCTCTTCGGAGGGGACATAAATCCAAGATCCTCACAGCCTGGGTTCATTGAAGAGCCTTCCCTCCCTACCCTGAGAGCAATAGTGTGGTAAGCCATAGTTTGGATAATTATATTCAAACCAACAAAATCCCCCAGAAGTTTCAGTGGGATTTTTCACTTTCAAAGACTGAGGGGATATGGAGATTGAGATACTTTTCATTCCCTCAGAACAATCAGTCTAAAACAAAATTGAGCCAAACTGGTTACTATAGGGACATGTATGTTTGTATAGTGCCCAGAATGATCAGGCCCGGTCCATATTTGGGCTTTTGGGCACTACCATAATAGAAGTGATTAACAAGGAGGATAATGAATTGCCACTCTCCATTGGGATGAGCACATGGCCTCAGCTTCCTCTCCTGTCAACTCTCAGGCACTAGCTTCACTTTAAAAACTGCAAGAATTGGACACAAGTTATATGGGCAAGTATCTAAAATACCTCCGATTTAAATACACTAATGATTAATCTCCACAGCTGGCCATTTAAACGAACACTAGATCTATTCTAGAATATATTTTACTGCAAGAGAGATCACAGGCTGACAGTTTTGTTTTGAACATTAAATATACAAACAACTATTGAGACTCTTGATTCATCTAAGGATAGAATCCCGCCCCTTGCTACTTGGACAAAATTCCCTTTGGCTGCAATGAGAATTTTGCTCAAGTAAGGACTGCAGCCAGGTTTCGTTTTAGGTACAGTATGTTGGAGAAACAAAGTTTTCCTCACATCCCAAAAGGCAGCAGTTCCATCAATGACAGGTTTCAGAGTAGCAGCCGTGTTAGTCTGTATCCGCAAAAAGAACAGGAGTACTTGTGGCACCTTAGAGACTAACAAATTTATTAGAGCATAAGCTTTCGTGGACTACAGCCCACTTCTTCGGATGCATATAGAATGGAACATATATTAAGGAGATATATATACACACATACAGAGAGCATAAACAGGTGGGAGTTGTCTTACCAACTCTGAGTTGGTCTTACCAACTCTGAG